ATTCTTGAAATTTTCATGTCATTAATTCTAAGCTTTTCCGCCGTTGATTGATCAGTAATTCCGCCATTTTCATCAACGAGCGCCTTCACAGCCGCCACTTGGCCCGCGATTGTGGCGGCCGTCGATGAAAATGGTGGAATTCCAGTGAAAGACCTGGAGACAACCATCAGAATTATTGCCATTTTGATTTCAAGAATTCGGAAGTTGAAGCTGGGCTACGCCAAAAAACCAGCGAGATCTCATCTTTTGAGTAAAAGAGCAGAAAGCCGGGAGGGTGCCTTTTGCAAAATTGACTTGGAAAAATGAGTCAGAGGGCTGCATTTTTTCATGTGCTAAAGAATGTTTTTTTTCTGAAGCCAAAATTTATTCCAGCTCAATCGTGTGTCGTTTCAATAAATTTATATTTCAAAAACTTTTGTCAGACCCCTCGTACAGTAGTCGCAAAAATGCATTCGTTCTGAAAGAATCGATCAGTTGGAAAAAACTCTGCGTCGAAAAGTCTCGGTTTTCCCTCGTGTCACCTGTTGTTGGTAACCTGGAAACGCGAATATGTGAAGCTCATCCCTAGCTTTTACGACTGCTCTACTACTACGCATGCGTCGTGTCGAGGGTTGCTGTCGATCCAGCGTCGAGTTGAGGTCGGAAATGGTAGTTTTCCCTTCAATCGAAGCAGTTTTTGTCAGCGACATGGGCTTGACGCGCGCAACAAAAACCGTGTTGTTTGAAAAAGGAAACTGATTTATTTATTCATTTTTATTTATTTTTTGCTAGTAAAGTTGGATACAGTATATCCGTGTAGAATGGTACAGAAACTCGCGAAGTGGAAATCCTTTCCTGCGACAAGTTGTGTGTTTTGAATGGTGACGTTATTATTACGTCGAACGATATAATCTACGCACACTTCCTTGGTATTGTGTAGAGCGGGATTAGTAACTTATTTTCAACTAATTCTACTGCACTGGAAAACAAGTGACATTTATTGCAATGCTTGCTTTTTCCTACTCTGTGAAAGGCTCACATTGTTTTCAGATTTTTGAGAATTCGACACCTGGAAATGCGCTTGAACTTTGTAGTGACGCGACTGAGACACATAATAATTATGATAACAGCATAATAATTATACCGTAGCTATCAGTAAATAGTTTTATGCATTCAACTCCTCGTCAGTTGGAAGTTGATGAAACCAATTGGAGACCCGTGCGATGACGATAAAGTATTTTGATCGAAAGATTCGTTTTTAAATTGTGATTCAAACTCTTTTTCTTGTTGTCGTTCGGTGTGGAGAGGTTTTCTTATTGAAAAGGTTTTTTTGATGAATGGAGTTCTTTTCATGAATATTGGGTGGCAATTTTGTCGGAATATTTTGAGGGGATTCAATGTTCAATGCTTTAAATTTCAGAAAATACGTGGAACTTTAGCAAGAAGAATCCCCCTTAAATGGTTCGTCGACCTTTCGGGTCTAATTACAGTTTGCGGAAGTAACTTGACTCTTTAAATTGCTTGGAATTTTCCTAATCATTTTTCGAATCTCTGAAATATAAACGAAATTCAGCACTTGTAGAGTACAGCATTGAAAAAATTGGAAGCGTGACGGACCGTTTCGTTCTCCTTTGATTGCAATCGAGTTGTAATTGTGAAGCATGAAAATGCCTTCAAAATATTTTTGTCGTAAAACGTGTCAGCCGCTTTTTTCTTTTGGCGCTCCTGTGTTATTTCTTGGATTTCTCTACGTGTTCTTAACAAGAAGTCCATGCCGAGCTGAAAAGTCGGGTATAAGTTTGCGTAATACGTTTTGGCTTAAATGTCGGAAAGCAGTCAAATAGCTTTTTTTCTCGTTGGGATGTTTGAGCACTAAAAAGTTTCTTGTTTTCTCCCAAAAAAAAATTTGGAAACACATTTTCTAGAGTTATTTCAATTTGTGGCACTCCCGTATTATTTTTTCCAACTGTTGATTATTTTCCCGCGAAGAATAAATTGTGAGGCTGGAAATGTGAACGTACGCTAGTCAATAATTAGTCAACTGGTATTCAGTATTTATATTCGATAGCCAGAAGTTGTTACGCAAAGCGTTTCTGCTCTTATAAGCTGTTTTAATTTCGTACAGTACATAAATCGCCTTTCGAATGCTCTGACTTGAAATAGGTTCGGAAGGACATTTTTGTGTAGCTGTTAATTTTCGTAGAGAGGAAGCTTCGCAAGCATGTCGGTTCGAACCGTATTTAATCCTGCTGGACTTTCATCATCTACCACAGAGCATTCCTCTTCCGTAATTTGGGATTCCTTTTCGGAAGATATTACGCCAAGTAATTGACGAAAGTGTGGGGGGAAACTTCGGTGGATCACTTCCTTTTATCGCGCGCGATTAAAATTTTTCATCGTAAATAGAGTGAACGGGATCAACGACGTCATCGAATGTCTCCGCTTCACGACGAACGTCCAAGAAGCAACTCGCTGCTGTTGAGGAGAAAGCTACATTTGGTGTGAGCGAGAAATTGCATGACGAAGCTGGAGGGATTTATGCGGGCTGTTGATGGGAGGAAGCTGTGGCTTGATTGGATATTATTTTTATTCCTGTTTTTTTCAAAGATGTTGGGAGAAAGCTGACCATTGTTTGATGATGGAAATGCCGTCTTCCTGTTTTTAGGAGCGTTAAAAAGGTCGAGTTGTTTTTTTCATAGTTTTTAATGGGATGACGGCTGGGGCGTGTTACCGCATTTGCGTGAATGTAGGCTGGACCGAAAGAAAGTATTTTAGATTATATTCAATCGATATTTGAACAAGAATGCGTTGTGTAATATCTGAGTAATCCTCTTGAACGGATCCCACGTGACTCTCTTCGTTCAAATGCCTTCCGAATTATGTCAAAATGAAACTATTAGCGGCTTCGGTATTCCAAGCCCCGTATTTAAATTGAGATACAATTTAGTCAATTCTAACTTTTGGTTGCTTCGGTATTGCAAGCCCCGTATTTGAATAAAAATGAAACCGAGTCAAATCGACACTTCCAGTGGCTTCGGTATTCCAAGTCCCGTATCTGAATAACAATGACACTGAGTCAAATTGAAACTTTTAGTGGCCTCGATATTTCAAACCCGCCTGTATTTGAATGAAAATGAAACTGATGAATTTGTTCCGTGTTGCAGCGGTCGATATCTCTCGAGAGTTGAAGATGTTCTTGGTGGGGTTGTCCCAATTTGGAGCGCCTATGATTGATTCGAAAACACTCGATTACGCAAAACTTTTTTGTCGTTAGGAGTTGTAATAAATTTTATTCAAAAATTCCCCTATTCAATATTTTTCTCGGATATCGATAGCTAAGAATCTAACATTGGTAGAATTTGCCTTCATCTCCTAATTCCGCGCACCAGAGATTTTCGTTGATATTTGTCAGTTGTATTAATTCATTTCAAATTCCTCGAGTGACGTATTTGACGAATTCAAGTGTAATACTTTTCATTAGCTGTTGACTGGGACTGTGGATGAAACAATTGAAGATACGGTTAACATACTTGATATATTCCCGTGGGAAGTGTGGGAACCGGAGGCTCAACAAGTTAACTAACTTGGTGATGAAAACCTTTATTAATTTGTTCCTTGTTCTTGACAAACTTATCGAGTGAATTCTTGAATATAAATGAAGAAACAAAAACCGATGACGATTGCAGCAAGCCGTTAAGAATTTCAATTCCCCAGTTGGACAAATTCAGGAATTTAATTTTTTTGCGGAATATTAATTCCGTGCCTTTCGAATCAATCGAAGCGGTGACCGTTTTAAAATTGCTTTCGGTTTCTTTTTCTCGCTTTCGTGATCTAGGATTGTTTGAAGTATTCAACCTTGATTTTCGGACTGTCCAACCATGGCCAATGTCGTGATCAGAAGTTCGTCTGTCTGTGGTTAAGCACTTTAAAGGTCGCATTTATCAAAAAATCTCTCGAAGTTTTTCCACATTGGCGTATAAATTGTGCAAATAATGACCAATAATGACGGTGATGGCGAATTGTAATTCCTTCATTCCTGAGAATTTTCGAGAATTATTCACATTAAATCACTTAAAAAGAGGCTAAACTTCCACTTCCCGGATAAAATTGCTGCACCTACTTAATAACCAAACCTACACGCAGTAGTCAGGGAATAGATGCGAGACTCATCTTCGAACGAAAAGGATAGTGCTTAAGCTGTACTGAGTCTTATTCTGGTTGGCCGTATGCGCTGTTCTTGGTCGAATTTGTAGAGCGGAAGGAAAGTGTGCAAATTTTCCAACGTGACGCAGAAGAAATAATGAGCCATTGTTGAGGGCCTTTTATTTCAAGCGTTCTTCGAAATTTTGAGCGAAACCAGCGGGTCGTTGTTTGTGATTTCTGTGTACGCATTTGTTTGACTGGACCTCGGTTCTGTGAGGAAATCCGGCTTTTTCTGAAAAAAATAAAATAAAAAATCCTGCGCACCGGAAATCGAAGGGAGTTTTGCGGTCGTGAATAAGTCTGTTCACTGTGCTCGATAATGCGGTGCTGTAACGAAGCGGAATATTCTGCGTAAAGCATTTTGCAAGATTTCTTTCCGAATTTAGCGTTGCTCTCCTAATCTTGGGGGATGTGTTGTGAGGTTGTGTTCATGAACCTCTTCGTATCGGGAAAATAACTCTTCGCGCTATCTGGTCGACCGTCGTCGTCGAGTTCAGTGAGCTATCGTGATGATGTCATCTTTATACAGTTGAACCTCTTTTGAGTCGAACTTGGAGGGACCGGGAAACAATTTTAGTAAGGAAAGCAAGCATTTTTCTTAATGGAGAGAAAAAAATAAGTGAAGGAACTTGTAATGGGTGAAATTCAAGGCCTTGAATTGCTTCTTGAATGAGTTCACTGGATGCAGAATTTTAAGCAAGGATTTATTGGCCCAATTAATCTTTCACTCTCTCTCAAGAAGACATCGAGTTGAATTTTATTGCTTTTCTTCGTCCGGTGTCGATGGAATAACAGCCTCCAGCAAGTTTAAGTTATGGATGTTTGAGGACGAAAGTCTTCGATTTAAGAAGGTTTTTGATGCATTGCTTCTGAGGGAATTCGGACAGGGGACATGGGAAAAATTCGACGTAAGGAGGTTCGAGTTATCCAAGCTCAAGTGTAGTTTAATTATGACGTTGGCATCCAATCGCTGGTTTCGTGAACGTGGTGATGTTCATTGTTGGCAAACAGAATGGAATACGGTAGTGCAACATTTTGGGGAGAGTTTTGCAAATTCACATCAGCAATTCGCGAAGCGTTTCTCATCGGCCACGCTGTCGAAAATTGATGACAAGCGTTGAGTGTCGGGCTATTTCGTACTAACCTGTGATTGAAATCCACGAGCATTTTTCAACCATTTTTCGGCGTAGAGTTCAAAAAGTATTTGGGCCGGGGAAAGGGAACTTGATCCGGCGACTGCCATTCCATTCTGCGCTGACGTGAAAGTAGTCGCAAAAATTTTCGCCGAAGTACTGTACAGTATTTTGGCTCAGAAAAGCCCAATTGTTTGTACGTAGTGTACTGTATAGCAAATAATTACACTAGACACGTTTTAAATATTTTTCTGACGAATTTTTCAATTTTTTGTTCTTCTAGCAGTGGATCTTTGAACCGCAGTTCGAGCTTCAATTCGAGCGGAAGAGGAAGCGGTGGAAGTGGCTGCGATGGCGAAGAGCCTTATTCCGACGTCTCGCTTGAAGAGGACGTCATAGATCTCAATCACAAGGTCTCTTTGCCGCTCTGTTTCGATGACAACGAACGATTTCGTATTCTAGTGCAGTAGTTGTTCTGTTGCTTTTTTACTTCCGTTTTTTGAGCCCTCGACAAAAAATTTAGTTTTTATTCCATAATCATGGTACAATATAACTCAGTCTATATTAGCTAATGACCGAGTACCGTTACCCAGATAATCGAATGCAGTATCTTGGATTTTCGGAAATCGAAGCATTTTACTATGAAAGCGAGTGTCGCAAGTTAACGTTGCATAATCATCGTTCCCTCGAATTTCGCAGTACATTAACCCAAAATAAGAACTAATCGACGGAAATGGGCTAAAATTTACGTGGTTTTTCGTATCGATTTTTCGTCCACTGAATTAATCGAAATTTGTGTTCGGGTAATCAAAGCCAGAATAACGGAAGTTCTGCACTTTTTGGCTTCAAATAAAACATTTGCGAACGTAGTTTTCTATGCCCGCGATTGCGTTGGTTTAACCGGATTTTCTTATTTTTCACATGTTCTTCTACTACAGTATATACAAATTTATTGAAGCATCAGACGTTTGAGTTATTAATGCGAAGGGTGAACTATGTTTCGACGAAGGTGAAACTTTCATTTTTTCCCTCACAGCTTCATTGCTTACAAAAGAAAGCCCTATTTAATTGCTTACAGAGCGTCTACGAACTTTACTCAACCCCATGGGCGATGTTTTCGAAGCCCGGCATTGTTGAATGGCTGAGCTAATGATTGTTTTGTTTTTGTTGCCGTGGTAACTGGATCAACCACTGAATGGCCGAGAATAGCTCTCTACATTTTACGTTACGATTTTGCAGGTAAATTTGCTGCAGGAGCAGATCTCTGCGTTGGCCGACAACCAGAATACAACTGACGATCGGTACCAGAAGGTCAAGCATGAGAACTCGACACTGAACTCCAGGTGCGTGTGTGTATATATACTGTACTGTACACGCTATGGATGATGCAGGGACAGGGGCATCGATTTTTATCGATCAAGCGACGAGTTTGTTGTTTGTCGCCCTCCCCGTCAGACAAAGGCTGGTTACGATTACTGCTTTTCATACGCAGACTGACGGGACTGTTACCAACGTGACTTTTCGGAAATCCCCTTTTCGAACTTTGTGTATCTTTTTTTTGTGGAAAATTTTGGAGGGGGGAGTCGTGACGAGTGTATTTTTGAACTCTCGTGGGCTAATTCAGCAATTTACGAAAGTTCACGTGACCTTTGGCGGATTTGATGCACTGGATTTTTTTTCGTGTCGAAGTTGACTCGTGAAAAGTACAGCTAGTTTCTGATGAAAAAAATTAAACGGGATTGCCGTTAATTTGTGACGCATTTTCCACTCCTCCTAATGTTTTTACATTTTTTCGGCCGCCATAGAGTTTGTTCAGTTTAGATCCTGCAGCAACACTTGATATGATCGCCGTCCTTCTAAAGTTGCATCAAAGTTTTCCCTGATAGTTATTTCTGTAGAGAAGTCAAATCTTGATTTGTTCTTGAGAAACTAACGTATTCGAAGAAGTTCTTGAAAGAATTCTTGAATAGGAGTGATGCAAGATTAACTGATTACGTCGGCGATCGTAAAATGCTGATGGGAATTGTAATTCACCAAGTATACAAATAAAAAAATAATAAGGATGCATCTGCTGAAGGGTAGTAGTACAGTATTTTTCTTTGAATGTACAGTATAATCGTTGAGATACATTTTTTTCGCTTTTGTCGAAGGATTTTAGGGCAGTACCCGATTCGCTGAAGTTTCTTGTCAATCGTAAGAGAAATGAAACAATTGCCGTGTAATCAGTGCGGTAAAGTTCTGTCGAATTCTGGAAAATTCGGAAAGTAGAAAAATGATTCTCAGAATTATCCGAAGCGTTAAAATTTCACTTGAAGATTTGTTTTAAACATGTGTGTGTTTATTTTTGTTCAATTGTCGAAAAACGCTTTAAAAAAATAACTTGAAAATGATTATTCATGCTTTCTCGCAGAATCCAGATGCTGGAGGAACAATTGAGAGAGCTTGAGATGCGAGGGGAAGACCAGTTGGTGAGCGAGCAGAAACGATGCCGTGAGCTGGTCGCGAGAATCGAGCGCGAGAAACAGCTCGAGCTCGAAAACTATCAAGTCAGGTGCGTGGATTTTTTTTTTTCGATCCAGGCTCACTTTCACTGCACCGCATTTCCTAGTACGGTACAGTACACTGGAAAGTCGCTTCTCGTTGTACATGAAAATAAATTTCACTGTTGAAAAAAAGGGGGAACTTGAAACCTCTCGTCCCGTCGATGACCGTTGTTCTTCTGAGATGCTCTTACCGTCACCAACTTTTGTGACGAGGGTGATGGAAATATTTTCTAATTGAGATTATATTCCAAGATGGTCGTCTTGCTCTTGATCATAAATAAACTCACGTAGATGATTCAATCGTAAATATCATTTTTGTATTTTGTTCATTGGCCGTGGGTTTGAGCAGAGCTTAGACACCGGATTCACTCGAATACCCTCGAGTAAGACGCGCACCACTTTTAGTGACTTTAAACCGCAATATTTAAAAAAATAAGATAGCTCAAATTTGAATTTGGACGTGAATTGAACCTGAATTATAATTTTTTTTAATCTTTTCAATTTAAGTGAGCTTTTCTTTAGAACTTGGTCCAAATTTTTCTTTAGAATCAAGTGAAATGCATACCGAAACTTCTATAACTTGTTGCAAAGTGTATACAATCCTATGACGTTTTTTTTTTCAGAAATACGCGACCTTTTTACATGATTTGATGTGTGTTTAATTTCCTGAGCGTAACTGCAGGGCAATCGAAAGACGTACCTTCAAAGAGTTTGCGAATAAAATACTGTATACAGTATACTCAATTTTTTTAGGAGTAGGGCTTTGAAAAGCTTCGGCGCGTCTCTCCTGGCGATATATTTTCAAGAAAACGAAGTACTGTACCTGTACGTTGTCTTTTAAAAATAAAACGAAATCACGATTAGCATAATATACATGTTTGAAAAATGTTCGCGGCGTAGTAATCGTTTTTCTGTTCTTGTGCTCAACAGGCTGCAGTCCATGGAGCAGAAGGGGACTTCCTTGGAGCGCGAACTTGAAAGAATGCATCACCAGGCGGATTTGTTGAAACAGGAAAAGGCTAGAGCAGTTGCCGAACGAGACGAGGCCGAATCTGCTCTGCAGAATTTGCAATCTGAACATCAGAGCTTGCGGGATCTGTATCGAAAGCAGCTGGAGCAGTTCTCCAATGAAAAGCAGCTGACCAACGAGGTTAACTTTCACCTTTTGCCGGCTCATGGGCTTGTCTTCCATTTATCGGCGTTTCAAAGTTAATGATGTGGCATTACGACCGGAACGGTTTTTGAAGCCTGTCATTTATTCTCCCGGGTTCTTGACGCTTTTAGAGGGATGAATGTTTGAATGCTTTTCTGAGAAAGTTTCTTGCTTCTATTGATTTGAATGCGCTGAAAGGCGAGTTACTCTGCACGATATTCAAGGGCTGCTGCTGACACAGCTGAAGTTTGACTTTCTTCTTTATGCGAATTTACGGCGTCTGCTTTTGATCCTTGAGCAGATGCAAAATTGAAATTAATATCTAATTCTTATTATATTTCGAATGAATCGATTCTCGCAAATGGAGCTAGCGTTTCAGTACTGAGAAAACGAAAATCTGCCGATAAGAACACGCTGGTGAAATATCGTGGAGGATTTCTCTTCGAAAGGAATCCGTTTTGAGCATTTTTCATCTGATCATCGAACCATTTTCAACGCGCGAATCGCAGCATGCGTATTTAGTTCAAGTCAAATTTGACTTCCCTCCCGGAAATTTGGTTGCTTCTACAGTATCTTAAGTCTTAACTTGCATCAGTTTAATAATTATTGGATAAAGCGTGAAATCCAGCTTTAATTTATTTGGTTGCCTTTACACTATCTTAACTTACATCAGTTTAATAATTATTGTTTAAAGCGTGCAATCCAGCTTTTATTTATTTTCTACTGTTGCTGTTGAAATTAGGAAAGCCTTTCCACAGGAAACTGTGGCAGAATCCGCGGAAATTAATCAAGTCACGCAACGGCTTTATACCGCAAATGAAGGATATTTTTGCGTGGCATTCATCTGGTAACATATTTGTATACCCTCTCACATCGAAGTAAGCTGCGTCCTAGCCCTTGTGTGAAAATGGCTTACTAGAATGTGGTTAACACACATTTTTGAGGGATCAAACGAGCTTGACGTGCTGGAATGCCGTAAGTTTTGAAGAGAAGGATCAAGGACACAATTTGTCAACAAGGAAGGTTCTCCGCCTTCTAACGAGCCTCTCGTCGAAATTTTATCGTTGAACATTTAAAAGTAAATTTTCTGCAATCTGTTCCAGGTTCTGCAAGAGATGTCCCGGGAATTGGAGAGTCTCCGGTCCGAAAAAGATGTCAAGAGCATGGTTTGCAATGGTGGCCAACGTCGAGGAATTTCTCCGTCGAGCGGTAGTGGCTTTTCCTGCACTGACGAGGAAGAGTGCACCGACGGGAAACGTCGTCGTCGTCGTCGGAAACGTCGTGGGGAAAATCGCGTGGACAACCACAGCAGTGCGCATTCGGAAACCACCTCGTCACGACTTCGCGATCTTGAGGACGAACTCCGTCGTTTGAGAGAGGAAAACAAAGGTTAAATATTGCTTTCCTCTTGCGTAAAGCTTCCTGTTTTAATTCTGTTAGCCGTATTTATTTTGTAGCTCGACCGATTTTTTGACGCCATTTCAGTGACGTAATTGAAATTAAATTGGGATACTATAAGATTGTTGTGCAAATTCGTCTACTGAAACCTTGACTATGAGAAAACAGAATTCTTTGTGTTGGATTATTCTCTGAGTTATTTACTGTATTGTAGTGTATTCGTTGTGAAGCATACCGTATTCTTTTTTGGCTCTCCAATTTCAAAATATACTGATTTTGTTTTGTGAATATTCTCGGGAAACTAAGGTTTTACTTTCTCTTGAATATACTATCGTCGGTATCACCCTGCATATTGTGAAGGTTTCGTGATGATTTTCGAGATAGTTCTGTGAACTGATTTTGTCCACCGAATTTTTCAAGAATATGGAATAAATTAGTTTTCCCGACTAAAAACTAATCCACGGGAAAGTTTCGGTAAACGAGATAATTACTGTCCGTTGTCTGATAATGCGTGAACTTTGAGTCTTGAGACTTATCCGACCTTGGAAAGCCTTAATGAGCATATGAGCTTGTTACTTGGTTTGACTCATTAACCTATATTACCTATTTTATCTGATTTCTTATGGCTCTGAATTGGAACAAAAACGCGATTTGTTTTGTGGTTATTGAACCACTTTTTCCGCAAATAACGCTTCCATAACAACTGCGATTGATGGAGCAGTTTCATACATTAATAAATTGTGTTAATTTCAGGGCTTGTGGAACAGAAGGAAGAGTTGCAGGCCCAGTTACTGTCCAGTGGCCTAGATCAGGGTCGGGAACTGCTAAATCAAAGCGCTCTTGGAGGAGAAGCTTCGTTGGCCATGGAACTGGAGGAGTTGAGCACGGACGAGGTAATGCTTGTAAGTTGGAGCTTCGCAATGACTGTTGGCTCGTGTTTTTCTCTTGTTTATTGGTTTCGTACTGCACTGTGTTGTGGTGGAAGAGACGCGCAGACGGTTGGACCGGAACGACGCTGCGGTTTTAGGAAACGTACTTTTGTTTTTTTGTCCACAACCCGCCACATCGGGAGCGAAGTGTCGATTCACAAGACGTAATATTTAATCTCGGTTCAGGTTTCTGTTTCTTCGCATGCGTTGCAACTTGCAACTTATTCACTGTATTTACTCCAGTAACACCCGCCCTGGATTAAGACGCGCATTTTAGTTTTTCAGCTAAAATTCACAGAAAAGTTGTATTCCCTCATTAGACGTGCACCTTAGTTTTCAGTTCCCAAAATTCATGCTGTATTTTAAAAACCGAACGATGCGAAAATCTAAATATAGGTGGACTCTCTCTACGACGATCTTATCTACAAAAATATTTTCTGTGTACTGATGATTTTTTGGTCCCAAAGGTTTCTCTTCACGTGTTACATTGGTTCTCTACGTACGACGAAGTTCTTTTTACGACGAATTATTTTTCTGCCAATTGGATTTCGATTTAGACGGAGTCCATCTGTTTAAACCCACTTGAAAGTTGACTTCCATGTTGATATTTTTTCTGAAGCGAAACAAAGAATCATCAAAAAAAACGAACTGAAGAAATTTTGAAGTAAGGAAAAAGTTTAAGCTCTTCAAGGTAAAAAAAAATATACTGGAAAATGTTAACCCGATTATGAAGCGCACTTCATTTTTTTCACCTGTTTTTTGGAAAAAAGCTGGGCGTGGTACTCGAGTAAATACGTAAAATACGTAACTAATTTTCGAACGCTAACGCTTCAGTTTTCATTCTTTTTTTCTCTAATAAAAGACACTCCATTTTCCATTTGCTTCGAAGGCGTTATCTCACGGAATTCAGGGCATTTTAATGCCCCTTAAATATTCGAATATCTGCAGATAACGATGTATCTCTTCATTTAACACCGTCGCATTTTAATTAACCTTGTTTTTCTGTTCGAGGTTCAAGTTACTGATTTTTATGTGATGTTGTTGGTCTTGAATTTAAAATTGTACCCGAATAGTGTTCGTTTCATATTTTAGTAGCTGGTCCTGGAGTCGAAAAGCAAGTTTCGCTGTGCCGTAAATTTTAATGAAACGCGAGGAATGATTCTACCGTAATTGCCTTTCAAATATTCAATATTTAAATGCAATATAGGTTAGAGAATGACAATACGAAGCTGGAAAATGAGAGTCAATCCGGTGTTCAGTGGGATATTTGTCGGATAATCTACTAGAAATTCATTTGGTCAAGTATTCATGGTTACCAGTGACGCCTACCTGCACAAAAACGACCAATTACTGTGATTAAAAAATAAATAAACCGTAGAATGCTTCTTACGAACTCAAAATTTGATTCTTTGCTGTAACTTTCTGAACAACCTGTAACTTCTTGATTAACTACATGGGTGCGGAATTTTGGGTTTTGGTTTGCTGCTTTATAACAATGGTTGCTGCTTGCAATATCTTTATTCCAGGTAGCATGTGACTCTAGTGCGTATAGCGTTTCCTTTGTGAAGTTCCTGGAAAGTTCCTCATTTTTTGGCTTTTATTTGACTTGTGATGAGCAGATGAAGGAAGCACTGAAGGAGCAGAAGGAGGTCAATTTTCGTCTCAGAGCCTACATCGACGGCATTTTGCTCAACATTGTTGAGCATTACCCGCAGTTACTGGAGATCAAGACGCCGTCTCCGTAAATGAACGCATTTTTTGTGTGGATAAATGACATCATCTCGGAAGAGCTGCAGATGAAGGTGTGACAGCGTTTTCTGGCCATCCGTTTAGGAAGGAGCAGTTGGCATGGAAGATATCTTCCATAGCTGTGAATGAGCTCGGATCCGTCCAGTAATTGTGCCGCTTTATTTTTTAAGAGGATGTAAGATTTTTGGAAATATTCAGGATGATAATATTTGAAGGTAAAGAGAAACATTCCAGTTTTAAGCCCTCCTTTTTTTTAACGGTCAGCCGCAACGCTTATCTTTGCGTAATCTTCAGTAATTCATCGTAGTTCTGCTTGTTTTTTTTATTGTTTTAGGAAAAGTCGGGGGAAAACGTTATTTGACTTTCGCCGATTACGTATTGCCGCGATTCGATTTGCGTTTAACGTTTTAATACATTTTCTTGTCAGCTTTTGTTTCCTTCCTGCCTCGGTCCCCAATTGTTGAAAGTGCCTTTCAGTGCTGGCTTTGGATGGGCGATTCGGAGTTTTTCGTCTTTTGTTTGTAGCACCTCCCGGTGCTGGCTTTGGTTGACTGCTTCTTCTTCTTCTCGCAACCTAGATTTTCTCAGCTTCGCACCTTCTTCCTCTTCTTACCATTGTTTTCTCTCCCGCGTCGTGTGGGGGGTTTGATTTTATGGAAGTTCAGTCGAGTGCAGTGCTTTCCTTCAGCTATGTTTCCTCCCCGTGTCTTAGTGTAGCGGAGTGTTATGAGATCTCGTACAGTATATTCAAATAAAAATGTTTCGTAAGGTTCCGTCGGCCCCCGAAGATTCGTGACGAATTTTCTCCTTTATGTACAACTGCAGGTTGAGGGTCAGCTGAAAAACATTTTGAAATGAGCTCCTGATGCAAGTCTTTTTCTAATCGTGAAAAAAATTGTAATCTTTGGGGTGCGTTTGGCGGCAATTTTTATATATTTTTTCTTTTATCAATTACTGAAGATCGCCTTTGCCTGACAAAGGGGTAAATGATTTGTAATCATTCATTTTCAAGGAGAAGCGAAAAACAAATCATTGGATAGTTTTACAGCTAGGCAAACTGATGATCTAAATCCGTGGCGATTTTCAGAGACCTCTCAGTTACCAAAGTAAATAACCAATTTTGTATGGGACACAATTTTTTGTTGGTGAGGCGAACGTGTCGCGCGCTCTCTTTTCTTTTTTACTGATTTGCTTGTCGTTCGATCGTGTGTCATAAGATTTTTATTTGTGGATGCTATTTCCCTCGAAAAGTAATTTTTCCAGTGTGGATTGCGGCGTTGCAAGCATGTCTTGTTGTGACGTCGTGGTAATCAAAGAGGCCGTTGCCGTCCGTTGAGGATTAGTGATTGCGGGAGATTGACGTGGCTCTGACTATACTGTTTGCCTTTGGATTTGGAGGGGGTTTAATGTCCAGAAACGTTATTTGTGATGGATTTTTATCAGCCTTTACTCAAGTCGTGGTTATTTGGCTTCCGCAGATTTTCCTGGCTTCATATAGTAACATTACTTGCCCTCGCTGAAGACCCACAACTTACTTTTTATGTCTCGAACAGAGGCACTACTAACAACAATCTAAGAACTTTCCTTCAAGTACTAACGACTTTAAACAGCTTAGCTGAACATTATCGGATTTTAGCCTCGTTTTATTGATTACAGTATTTGAGATTCAGCTCTCGCCTATCAATTTTCCGTGCTTAGGGAAAACATCATAGGTTTCCTAACTTTTTATTTTTGCAATTTATTTGAGCAAGTATGAGAATATGAGTAATCTACAGGTTCGAGCACGCAGCAGTTTTTTTGCGGGGCTTAAACGTTGCACTGCTACGAAAAACGTAACTTAATTTATCGTACAGTATAGTATTTATTAAACGATAGTTATTGCATTTGGGAATACACTATGATTACTGCCTCCAGTTTTGAGGGAATCAAAATAAAAAGCATTTTTTCTTAGCATGCATCTGAACCTTAATTATCTGGTCTACTGATTGAGTGCCTGAGTGGTATATTGTTCTTAACATTCTGGCAATCATTGTATTGTCTTCATTGAACTTGAGATATTGAGAGTACTGTACAGTTTAGGGAATCAGGAATGGACTATGCATTAATACAGTACTGTACAGATGATGTGTGACTTACACATTACAAGTCTATTACATAATTCTTACCTCTGTAAAATCACTAAGTAACTGATTTTCTAAAAACACACTTTAACTTCGTTATATATTCGACTGTCTTCTACTTCCCCGACAGTGAAATGTTGTTACAACAAATTCATGGGAGTAGAGAAATATTGTAGCTTTTTTGGAACAAAAAATTCAGTATGAAGAACAGTAACTTCTTAAACATTATGGCTGTTGGTCAAGGAATCCATTGTCATCATAGGGACTTTAAAAATTGACTTATTTGTTGTTACAAGATTTGTTGTAAGAAGATTGTATTGTATTTAGTACAATAAAAGGAACCATGTAAAAATTTGTTGAAATGAGAAGTTTGGTGTATCAAAATTCATGGTTTTTAACACATGTTGGGCTGAAATTTTTTAGGAAATTGGCAATAATTAGTGTCAAGTTGTTCCAAATCATATAATTCAGTACTTCTATCATAATGAGCATTCCTGATGAGATGAAAATAAAGCTTGAAATATGTAGTTTTTTCCTTCTTTGGAACTTGCCATTTTACTAGAAGGTGACATTTTTCTCAAAATATACAATGAACATAAGTACATGTGAGAGGAATAATGCTTCCTCCTGAATGAAGTTTTTCATTTATGCATGTTCTTGCAGATAAAGGAAAATTCTTTCAAACATACTGTATATTGGGAAGAAAGGCCTTAATCGAGAATGAAGCTACTGAATTTCCAAGAAATACATCATTCATGTTTAGTATTTTTTGAGCAGCAAGATTTTGTGACAGGAAATTTTTTATGAAGTTGGAATGCCAGACCTTTTCTTTTGGGTTTCAAGTCAGACATAACTGTATATCAAACAAACCCTATTCACTTTACACTCTTACTCCCTGTTTGAAAACAATATTACTCTAATGTCGGATTTTAATAAAACAACATTACGTTAAAAATATTGTAATACGGATACGTTTTGGTAGTCCTGGTTACTTCTTTAAACAAACCAGGACTTGGTTTACCATAGGTGAATAACTTTTCTTGAACAAATTTGTTATACCAAGATTTATTTTAAGTGAATTCTACTTTATACCAAATATTAACCTTTGAATAATTATTTAATTTTTTGAAGTTTTCAAGTGCAGAACTGATGTACAATTGCTGTTGCACCTTCTGACAGACCTGTAGTATTCCAGTAAAATCCTATCAAGAAAAATCTTATTATAAATACTTCTGGTTGTATTGAATTTTTCTCTTGATCCCAGCAGTTTCTTCATAGGAACAACATTTTGTGATTAAAGAAATTTCCTCTATAATCTCAGTAGAAAAATGTTTGCCTTGATTCTGCTGTGTGCATGGCCCATATACTTTCTTAGTACAGTAATTGGCACAATATGGGAAAGCCAACCTTGTGCAAAGTTGAAGAACGCTCAGAGAAACAAAGGGTAGAAGTACTTCTATACAGTATATGAATATGAGGACTTTTCTTGTACTGTACATCCACTATATCAGCCTTCAAGATAATGCGTATTGTACAGTATTTTTTCGAGTAAGATGTGCATGTTGCATATACAGTACTCAAATATAGCCACTATTTCCGGTCATTCCAATGTGCAAGTACAGTACAGTACTGTATTTGGAAGCTTGCTTTGCGTGATTAGTTTCAAGTTTGGAAGACTTTCTCCGTCTGGGCTAGCTCACCATGTAGGAAATGCTACGCTCCATATGCTGTATACAGTATACACAAAGGCAATGACTATATATACTGTACACCCAGCTGCTGATCTGTGAGCCTGTGACACAGAAGATACACCACAATGACGCAGCACATGATGTCGCAACAAGGGAACCAGCTTTTCACGCTTGGTTGCTTTAGCTCGCGCTTCAGTTTCTAGCAATAAGAAAGATACCCTCACCAGCACTTGAAGAACAACTGCATTATCATGATCGTCGCGTTTTCATTAGCCAATAAGACTCAATGAAGGATTTCTTAAATGATGTGCCTTATTTGCTGGGTCGCCGGTTCAAATTTGGAGTTGGATTCCAGAAATCCTGAAAATGTGGATGATGTTAACGTTCAACAATTGCAGTCATTTTTATTATCACAGTCGTAAGTCTTCATAAGTGCGTACTTGTTGAACTTTTATTGATTTATGACATGTGGTTTTCAGATAATATATATCCTTACACTTACACTTACTTTGTCTGACTTATTGTTTTGATTTTTTATGAAAACAGAAAATGTTCTTCTTTCTTCCTTTATTTTAAAATAAAAGCAATAAGTTTCTATCCTAGAAACATGCATTATCATGGCTCAAATCCTTACAAAACAAGTTGCTCTGCTTTTCTACATCACCCGCCATATTTGTCAATTCTGAATTCGGATAGATGCATATACAATAATAAAATGTAGAAGATTATAAGAAAAGAAGATATCACGTGGAGATATCAGACCTATTTATACAAAAGTTGAGGCTGTACGGCAGTTTTTACATGAACTAGTCATCAACATGCTGCTGGTGATCAAAATGGTTAATCTATAAGGAATTCAGAATCACACATGAACGATCCTCACTCGTATATGCTGGGACTTCTTTTTGAAAATGCCTTCTTAATCTTGAAAGTACAGTTTTGTAGATTAAATGCCCTTTAACCATAATGTTTAAAGTTGTATCACATAATCCACCTCACGATTACCCTTCTGTTACAAACATAAATAAGTTCACGAATCATTTCCGGGGTTCAGCTTGCATGCGATGAGGCACTCATACTCCAGGATCAGCTACAGTATACAGTAAATCTTATTCTTGCATGTGGCTTGCTGAAAATTGAATTTTAGTGATACAATGTATAAAAAAGGCTAAAATTGAAAATGTTCAGTCTGGAAAAAGAATGGGAGAGAAAAAGAAAAATACGGTATGCGTATTGAACGAATTGCAGCATGAGACGTGTTTGGCGTGACAAGTATTATAGATTATGTCTGCTTGGTGATGTGAAAAATGTATAGTGAAAGGAAATAACTTGTGCAAAGTTCATGAAAAATTTCCTTCGCTTTTGAATGTAGAGAAGAAATTACAGTACCTAGTACACTATCAGTGTTTCAGGTCAATTTGAAACATCTCCGAGTTAGGCGGGAGAAGTGTACCGTAATTTACCCAAAGATAAAAACGTGCTTCGATGAAGAACTTATTCATCAAAAAAGTTACTTCGTATTCTCAAAATCTATGTTTCTCCGTATTCGATTCAAAATACCGTAAGTTTCTCCCGTCTCTATAATACGAGTATAGCTACTGCACTGCAGGTGATGGACTCTCTACAAACACAATCTTGTTTACGGAGATTTTCTCTGTACAACAAATAATTTTTTAGGTCTCATATATAGGGTTCTCTCCCCGTGGATTCCCTACAACTCTCATAGCAACAACTGGAATAGTGACAAGTTGCACACCAACAACTTGCGCCCTGCGAAAACTGGGATAGGGACAACTCGCACACTTTTTAAATTTTATTATTTTTTGCATAACATTTTTTTCCATTTATTTTTTGCAGATTTTTCTTGCCTTGAGAGAGTATGAATGTATGCTAATATACCCTAGAAGGACAGTCAGGGAGCCCTTTGTTTCAATTTTCAAAAACAGCCCTTCTGTTTCAATTCACAAGAAAGTGGTGCAAGGAATTAACTCTCAAACTTTTTATCCTTTATGCCATTGAAAGTAGTGCCAAGGTATTCACTTTCAAAAACCTTATTCTTTTTAATTTTAGAAAGCCTGATAACAGAAGTTTCACAGAAGGCGCTCACAGTCAATGATGAAATAAAGGGTGTAATTCAAGAATACAGTGAGGGGACAATTTATCAGAGAACATTTTTGTTCCATTCTTTTTAATTTTAGAAAGCCTGATAACAGAAGTTTCACAGAAGGCGCTCACAGTCAATGATGAAATAAAGGGTGTAATTCAAGAATACAGTGAGGGGACAATTTATCAGAGAACATTTTTGTTCCATTTGCCTTTTAAATTTGGCTTCTGAATTTTAATGTTTCTCAGCTGTCTCTTATTCCAGTTCCTCATTATTTACAATTACTGAATTTTTGAATGAATCATTTTTTCCTCAAGTAAAGGGAAGTAAAGGGGTATTTTTACCCCTTTCAAAAAATAGAGGAAAAAGTTGGCAAGTTGTTGCACTGTGCAAGTAGTTGCTATTCCAGTTGTCACAGGGTGTGAGTTGTTGGTGTACAACTTGTTGCTATTCCAGTTGTTGCTATATGAGTTATTGTCCCGTAACCCAACTAACCCTCCCCATGTTATACAGTATACTTGCTCTCTACAACAAACTTCATCCATAGTATCTGTACCCTTTATTTTCCTTATAGAGAGAGAGAGAGAGAGAGAGAGAGAGAGAGAGAGAGTCCCCTGCATCCATTTTAGCCTTCCTATGCAATAAGTCAAGCTTCAGGCTTTTTTAACCCTTGGGCGGCAAAGTTGGACTATTTCTGCAAAATTTTTTTGCACCTCAGAGAGGTGAAGAAAAAAATGTCAACAGGGGGTTAGAGGCAAAGTCAAGAAAAATCCTGATTTTTTTCCCTGGGCACAGAAAATTTTTGCCAGAAAATAAAAAAAAGCTCAGTGAGACTACCGGCTTTTTTTTTTTTGATTTATCCCAACTTTGCCTCAGCCCACCTGGAAGGGTTATCCTGACCTTCAAAATTATGAAAATGTGAAATTATGAAAATGCGGGAGGATACATAAATAATCCGACTCTGTCCCAGTATGGGAAAGAACCCTCTGCTGTCCAAGGGTTAAATACTGTACTGTACTGTAACTATTTTTGAAACCAATGTTGAGTTCTATGCTTTTCCATCAGCATAATGAGTACCTTCTTGTTCATTTGCAGGGACTAGCAATCTGAATGCTGATATTCCAATTATTGTTACTGGAGAATTCCGCTGAGATCATATCATAAATATGCTGGAGTGCACATTCCCCACATGACGGGAAAAAATATCACAAGAAACGCAACATGCTGTTCAGTAACAGCAAACTCACCTGTCTGCCTTTTGCTGCCATTTTCATGCTAATTGCGCATGACATCATCACCAGTGCCACATACATTAGGGAAGACCTCGGAATCCGAAATGCAAATGAAACGAGCACTCCTTCTAGTGTCTTGCGAAGCTTTTCGGCGATTTTTCCAAAAATGTTCCCACAACCTGGGTTGATCCTGAACCCACATGCGTTACTGCAAAGCGTCACTCCGAAAATCAACAAAACAGGTACAATTTTGAAACTCACCGCTATTCATTTATTAAGCTTCCAAAGTAATAAAATCCTTCCCTCCCAAATAATTTATTAAAATTATTTGTCCGACTTTTATTTTTTTACATTTCATAGAAAAATAAGTAAATGGGTTAGGATTGAGTTAATCGCAGCAAATTCTATTCTGGAGAGAGAACTACAATGTCTTGAGGTCCTGTTACAATTTTCAATCGACATTTTAGATCGAGTTTTACTTCATTGTCTAACCGAAATTTTAAAGTTTTGGGCGACAAGAAATGCCATGTATGCAAAAAATGCTATCATCATAATAAAGGAGTACAGTATAACGTTTTTGCAGCTTGCCCAGAATAAAAAGTCGTAAACTATATTTTTCTCAAATCAAACATTTAAATCAGACAAAAAAAAATGCACAAAAAGGGGAAAAACTTGAGAAAATTATCTGCAAAAGTATGGCTTAGATTTCTTGACATAATCATGACCCGTAGTAACATATTACAGTATATTTGAGGAGGAATGGATTTTAAAAATTCACAGAGAAGTCTTCCACATTGGGACAAACCCTAATTTTTTTTAAACTCCTGACCTCGTTTTTCGAAAATTAACTTCTTGAACCAAAAATAAAATTAAATAATTTGTGCTCCTTTTCAGAAATCGGGATGCCTCAAGTCATTCTTAAGTTCCAAATACAGTACATCAATCAGTTTAATTTCTCGTTTCTTCAATCGTTTTTTCAATAAAAATGTGATAATCTCATCAATCTCACTTCTCCCAAGTCCCAACATATAATATAACCAAAAAATCTCCTCAAATCTTGATTCAAAGAACGCCAACCGTTTGTTTTCTTTTTTGATATTGATGATTTGTGAGAATGCTACGATAATAATGAACAAATTATGTGTTTGAGTTGTTTACAAAATAATGAAGCTATCCATTGCATAGGCGTGAATGAAATAATTGAATACTGTACTGCTGAAGTGAAGGTTTATTTTCAGGTGGCATCCACCAATTAACGAGAAATTAGATCTTCGAGAAAATGATCGGGATAAAAAATGATTTGAATGCGTGGCCAGCGTCATACTTGGTCTCTCATCATAGATTCACAGAGAAGGTCATGTGCTCAACCCAACGAGAATAAGAAAGGAAATTCCTTTTTCCTTCATTTTCTTTCTAAAAAGAATCAAGAGGTATTCAAGTTTATTTTTTTTTTCAAAGCAAATTCTTCCGAGAATCATCAACCACTGCGAGCAAGTTCCGAGGACGAACCGACATTCGAGAACTTCTTCGGCAACAATGACGAAGACGAGCATCCGGACTTTCCCGACACCGACTACTTCTTGCGTGGCGGCGATGGCGACGGCGATGGCGACGGCGACGGCGATGGAGAAGGCGACGGATTCGAACGAGACAACCCAGACGACTACAGTGATCGGGCACCCGATGATTACGGCGACGGAGGAGGTAGGGACGACGATTACGGGGACGGCGGCGACCGAGACGGAGACGGTAATAGGGATGACGACTATGGGGATGGCGACGGCGGCGACGGAGATGGTAGGGACGCCGACTACGGTGACGGCGGCGATGGGGATCGGGACGACGAAGACGACGACTATAGAGACCCAGATTCGCCTGAAGAAGGCAGGGACGACTATGACGAGCCCGATGATGAAGGAAGGCCAGAAAACGAAGGTTTTCTTCATGGCTGTTGATTATGCAGTTCTCGCTTTCGGAGAGAGAGATAAAAAATAAAACAAAAACAAAGAAAGCACACACACACACACACACACGCACACACACACACACACACACAGACACACAAGCATAATTAACTGCTTTATTTGAATGAATGACCACATCTACTATAACTTTGTACTTCGTATCAAAATTAGGAAGAAAAAAATAGGAGGGCGCAAGTCTTGAAGGGCAAAAAGGTTTTCAACTTTCTTGCAGTTCTGGTGCACCCCATACTGTAGCCACTTGTGAAAAATCCTTCTAAATCAGTGTTACCCAGCCTTTTTGGGCCTGCGGACTGGCAAATTGCCTTGAAATTTTTTTTGCAGACCAGCAAGTTTCCCAAAAATTTTCTGCAGGCTGGAAAAGTTTTGTAACATTTTACAGAAAGCCTCATGACAGGCATTTAAAAAGTCTTCTGATTTTTGCAAAAATTAAGATCCAATGAAGCAGGTGTATACTGAAATTTTCATAAAACAAATTAGAAAGGTGGACCAGAAAGAAAGGTTTCTCAGACTGAAAAAGATTAACATAATTTATTTCTGCATGTGAATATTTTTCAGAAGTGTAATTAAGAGAATTTTAGCCAACTTATGTTTTCTGTAGGCAATTTAAACTATAATTTGTTTGTTCAAGGTTTTAGATGAAGGTAACACACTTCATTGCTACTTTTCTCAATTTACTATGCTGCAGAAAATGTCTTGCATACCAGCAAAAAACTTCTGTGGACCAGTGCCAGTCCACGGTTCACGGGTTTGGGAACACTGTTCTAAATCTCATGCAAGATCAGTTTTCACACAACATTTTGCTTTGCAATAAAATCTCTAGTCAAAATGCCAGTAATAATCAAGGTGTTGGTTTGATAATCGCCATGATGAGCTCATTTGATTGGCTAATTAGAGAAAAATCAAAGTCTATACTGTATATAAGTAAGCTTATTTTATGCACTGCTGTCATGCAGAATTCCTATTCAAATATTCTTTTGTTCATAGCATTTTTAATGCCACACTATTTGACCTTACATTTGCTTGTACTTCATTTACTGAACTATCATCATACACCCTCTATCATATCAAAGACCCGTACTAATAATTGCAGTAATAAGACCCGTTGAGTGACTGCAATATATCAAAGATAGGAAAACCCAATAAATTTGAATTCTCAGAGAGGAATTGAACCTGGATTCAAATAATGTTCACTCATTTCCATGAAAATGAGTTTTTCCATTGAGTAGCATGTCTTTTTGAAGAATGTACAGTATATCCATCTGTGATGTGCACCCCTATTTTCCCTCTTAACCCTTGGATGGCGGAGGGTTCTTTCCCATTGCTGGCCAATAATAGATTATTTTTGTATGCTGTGGCTTTTTAAGTTTTCTGAAGGTCAGAAAAGACCTTCCAGGTGGGCTGAGGTAAAGTTGGGATTAATCCAAGAAAAGCCCGTTGCTTAGCATAGGATTTTTTTCATTTTCCCACGAAATTTTTCTGTGCAAAAAGAAAAAAACATTGGATTTTTCCCCGACTTTGTCCTCAAATCCCTGTTGCTGTTTTTTTATTTTCTGCCCTGAGGTTTAAAAAAATTTTGCAAAAATAGTCCAACTTTGCTGCCCAAGGGTTACATTTCAGAAGAAAAGTTTGCATGATATCACAGTATACAGTATAATAGGAGGGGGAAAAACATCTGGTTCAATTGTGAGCAGTTTCAGCAATCCAAATGTTTTGTATTATATAGCTGGGTTCTTCTGTCACAATTTTGATGCACTTGTGTGAGTTGCCTCATCCTTGGAACGCTATTTATCACAAGCAGATCTTTTTATTTTATTTTGAAAGTGTGCTTCAGATGACTGACCAGTTTTGCCCTGACGTTTGACTACTTATATTGTACTCGACAAAGCACTGTACTTTGATAGACGATGCAATTTAGTAACACATTGAACGAGATTCAACCTCTTCCATACATTTTATTGTTTTAGGGGAACAAGCACCAGAGGAAAACAGCGAAGAACAACCCCCAGAAGCCGAACAAGAATCTCCCGAATCAGATCAAGAAGAACCACCCCCAGAAGGAGAAGAAGAAGAACCTCCCCCATCCGAAGAAGAAGACCCGCCCCCATCTGAAGAAGAACCTCCCCCAGCAGAAGAAGAACCTCCTCCAGAAAACAACCCGCCGGAATACGATCCCGGTCCAACCGGGGAACCTGATCCAACCGGCCCAACAGACAACAACAATAACCTCTCAACCCCTGAGCCACCCAACATCCCACCATCCAGACCAGGACCCCCGTATTACCCACCCAGGTTTCCTTCGGATCATCCCAACAGGAAACGGAATCAGCAGCAGCGAAGAAGGACAACCACGCCTGCTCCTACTCCACTGCCTCCTCCTCCGACTCAACCACCTCCTCCGAAGGTGTGGACCACGAGACCGCCTGTCATTGTACCTGTTTGGCAACCACAGCATCAACCACTGCCAGTGACGCCGCACCAAAATGCTTACAGACCATTCAGCTACCAGAACACCAATGCTTGGGCACCTGTCAAACCCACTGAGGCTTCCTACCCGTACAACCAACACCACCAGCAGGAGCTGCAGAACCCAACAGGGTAACACAGTTTTACCTTACAAAGTTTTACAGTATATTGGGGCCCAAAAAATAACGTAGATCGACAGTTGGACACCCCAACTTGCACGAAATTTGACTTTTGGACACTGTAGGCTAAAAATTAAATAAAAATAAAAATGCTCCAAAATCTGAGCATATTTGCAAGAAACTTCACCAAAATTTCCAGAAAATTTTCATATCTTTTGAACAAATTGAACTGCAAATATGGCAATTATGACAATTGAACCCTGTAAAAAATGACAATTATGAGAAATGAATATTTTCATTAAGTCACGATAAAACTCATCGCAAATCTGATTTGATTAATTTTCGAAAGCGGGATACTTTTTTGCTCTTCCTTCTACATGATATATGCCAGGGTTTCTCATCAGCTGTGAACAATTCAGGTTATTTAGCAATGCAGTATGCGTGGTTTTTCCGTGTCTGTAGGGTTCGTTTCATTCCAAAAATGTAAACATTTTGTGTCGTTTTTTTCATTTAAATTTTTTGCATCGAAGTTCAGAAAAACATTTTTCATTCAATTTTTTGAGGAACTTTTTCGATTTTTGGCCAAACATGAGAACTGTTAAGTGACTGAAAATTTTTAATTCATGTCTAAACGAAAATGTTTCCAGTTGCATGCAAATGTCCTGACATGTGGACACGGTCTGAAAAATAAAAAGCATTTTTGAAGAACGCAAAAGCTAAATTTTTTAACGAGCAACGCCGGGAAATTCGGAATAATCAGACTGTTTTTGTTTTCATTCGCACGAACGAATATTTTGGATTGCCCAGTTTTGAAAATTGTCAGTCTTCAATAAAGTGCAGTATTTCAGGTGAAATCAGAGCAGAATTTAGCACTCAATTACAACCCTGATTTTTCAGGGGAAGGGCAATATAATTTAACGAAAACATACCGATTCTCTCTTATTTTAAAAGTGGACTCTCCCTATGAATATCTTGTCTAGAATAATGTCATACGTTTAGCGATTTTCTTCATCATGTTATAGGGGTTCTTACCCTGCTACACCAAATTCTCTCTAATGAAGATTTTCTGGTTTCTCAGTATCATTGCGGAGAGAGCCAACCTGTGTAAAGCTAATTATTAAAATCATCTAAGCATATTGCGATGGTCACAATTTATTTTGTGGACCTACATAGCTTCATATAAACGAAAAGGACTCCTCTGATGAGTTTTGACCATAAAGGTTTAATTCTTGCTGACATAATTACTCCTCAATATTTAAAAAGCTGTTATACATCAGTGTAGTGAAATATTTTTCCAAGAAACTGTCGGGGACCTCAGAAAACAATTTTATGCTGTAGCAAGTAATTTTTTACAAAGATTTTTAAAAATATGTACGTCTTGGAAGAATTTTTAAAATTAAATGTGATGCTAATATAAATCTATAATATAATCTATAATATATAGATCTTCATTTTGTGACATTTTCAGATGTTTTTCCTTCTTTAAAAAACTGATCTTCAAAAAGAAATTCAAATGGCAATGGCATTTTTAAAACTCTGAATAACATGTGAACACTAGCACTTTTTGCCAACTTCAAGTTTTTCCAAGCAAATTTTTCCCAGATTCATAAGAGATGTTCCCAAAAAGCTTAGTTTTTGAGCATCAGTAGGGTTTCACAAGCATCCAAAACTCCTTTCAACATCAAGTTTTTGGGTTAATGTTTTGTCTCAAACCTCCCCGTTATTCGCGATCCATGAGAAAATTTTGGAAAAGAACTTATTCAGGGGAATTTCTGAAAATGTGTGTCCTTGATCCCACTTTCCACTATGTCCCAAGAACTAGTCACAGTTACATTTTGAGTGGGAAATTTGAGACTGAGCCAGCTTTCATTGGGAATTTTTCATTAGGAAAATCTCAACATGTCCCTCAAAAATTTTTGCTATGCTGGAATTGGAGAGTTTGTTGTAATGATATTTTTGTAACATGTACCCTATAGGATTTCTGCTGGGACTTGTAAAAAGTTTTTTATCCTGAAACATTTGTCATAATGGCATTTGTTGTAATGAGATTTTATTGCAGCAACATCCACAATGATTGATTCCTCCACTACACACTCACTGTTAAGAAAGCCTGTCAAATTAACGAGAAACGGTTTAAAAATATGTAGTAAATTTCCAGGTGGCAGCAGCAGCAACCATCTTACCCAAACAATAGAAACTTCGGAGGAGCTGCTGGAGGCTTTGTCAAGCCACTAGATTTCGGCAAATTCATTCAGAAGATGGGCGTAAGCATGACTTCTCCAGAATTCAGACCACCATCATCAAACCATAACCCGCATCATCCGGAATATCACGTACCGCAGTATCTGCCTCAGAAGCACACAAGTACAGCAATGTACAATCCAGGGGTTGGACAACAACCCTGGCAATACCCCGCAGCTGCTGGAAGTGCATTTGTGTCGAGAAAAATTGAGATCGTCGGGCCAAAATTAACGATGGAATCAATGCCAAACGTCATCTCAGACTGCGAATCTTCTGGTGCAGGATTGACAATGGAAAATTCAGCGGATGAAAGCTGCCGGGAAATAACCTCAAGGAACAATCCTTATTCAAACGTAGTTACTGAAATACCAATTCTAAGGAGACATCCCAGAGACATTTCAAGATTTCATGCGAATCATCCCGGAGGAGGATTTTCAAAGCCATTCAATTTCCCTGCTTTCATCAGCGAAAAGATGAAAATCGATGACGAAATCGACCCGGAAAAAGCCGAAGTCTCATCCGGACACAAAAAGGAGTCTCAAGTTTTTTATTTGCCGGATGCGAAATCGTCTCCGAATCCAAGACAAACTACCAGGTGACTCTCAAATTTGGATCCTATTATCACAATTATCACTGATGCAGTACTAATATATCAGCATACATTTTCAGACAAAGGCCTTCAATGAGACAAAGAAGTTCCCCTGTGAAGCCCAGAACAGATTTCAGTCACTTCTTCAAAGACTCCAATGGACCAAAATTCCCCGTCAATTTCAACCACGGCTTCGGAAACTCCCTCGAACCTCTGAAACACTTCCCAGACTTTGAAAAACAAAGTAAACCAAATATGAATAACCCCATACACCAGGTGAAACAGCCAGCATATGCATCAAGACCTCCATCCTGGTTGACTCACCAGAAGCAGCCGAAACCTCAACTTCCTGCTGAAGCTCCTCCGAAACAAGAGATAATTTATGTACCTTCCTCGCGTCCAAAATCAAACCAGCCCTTTCCGAATAATAATTACAATCATGCAGCACGGCCAATAACAACAACAACAAGCAGGCCAAGAACAACAACGACAACAAGACGACGAAGACCGACAACGAGGAAACCCGCAACCACGACGGAAACAGCAACCACTTACAAACCGGAAGTTGTGGAAGATATACCTGTGAACAGCAAAGAACGTCCGGGTTGCGTTAAGGTTTACCGCAGAGAAGAGCCCGACACTGATGACGACGACGACGACAAGGACGACAAAGATGATTATGGGGACGATAAGGATGACGATTATGGAGAAGCTGATACTGACGACGATTACGGAGACAAGGACGATGACAAGCAGTTGCGACGCAGAGTGCTTCATATTCCATCCAACAGGTGACACTCTTTTGAAATTATCGTGAGACCCTGAGAAGCAGATGTACGTAATTGGCACTGGGACCTTGTCCCTATGTTGAAATGTCCACATGTTGGATCTTGTTTTCCCATAGACTTCAATGGTAACTCATCTATCTTTCTCCAGTGAATCAAAAATTAGAAATAAATCCCCGAAAAATGTCAAATAAAATGTATTTCTCAAGTAAAAGACAAAGAGTATAACTGTGTAGAAGAAAGCCACACAGAATCTGATCTATTCTGGCATCAAAGGGGCAAGAAGGAGAAAAGCTGCATCTTGCTATGCTATGCACAGATTATGTAGAATGCTGAAAAATCCCAAAATTAACCTTATTTGATTAAAAATGTAAGAAATCCATTTTTGTCTACTAGGGGCATGAATAACTTGAAATGTTTGAGAGATATTGAAATTTTGATGAACGAAAATTGTAAATTTTCCTTGAAGTATATGTTGGAAAAGTGTCTGAATGAATGAATGAACAGAACACTTTATTTGCCACTTTTCAGGTTCAATCAAGTTTTCCACATCCAAACCCCCTCCCCACCCAACCCAAATCCAGTCAAAGACATTTAATCATTTCAGAGCACAAATGGATAACACAAATAAAAGAAAATACAATCCACAAAAGTCCCCAAATCAAATTCAATCCCAAATCAAATCAAAGAGGATCATTTCATGAACCTCTTTCATGGATTCCAAAAATAATAGCCCAAAATGCTTCCAGAAAATGTTGGGTATAGATGTTTGAGGGGGAAATCTTTCAGTTGGGTTGGTTTCTATAGTATTGTTCTTAGGGGAATTCAAGCAGGTACTTCAAACCAATTTACCCTAGCAAAGTCTTCAGTTTAAGGAGGTTTGCATTGCCAATATTTTACTGTAATACTGTATAAGATTATCCTGTGAACCACAATAATCCTAGTGAACAATTGGAAAGTGTCCATGCTTGAATATTCATGATGTTGTCCTCCAAAATACATGATTTACAGTTTATGAAAATGAAACTCTAGGCTCAAATCATCAATTGAAATTCTGTCCCTGTTTTTCATGCATGCTACAATCAAAATTGTGAGTATCAAAAGTGTAAACATTTTTCGCAAAATGTCCGTTTTTGACAATTTTTCATACTCTGCACAATCACTACACACTGTACCATGTTCACTGAAGTATCTAATACACACTTTATTAAGAACCACACCTTAATCTTTGTACTGTATGTGAACTTCGATCTTGTTGAAGGTTTGCTCCCACCCTTTTCTTATCCAATAAGTGAAAATTTTTCTATCCAACGATTTTTCCCCTTAGGATTATTATTGCCTATAGGGAATATGTAATTATACAGAAGACACCGCTTCAAAAGAAAATACAGTGTTACCTTTTTTCGTCGCTAATGTACGTACAATGGATACTGTGCATGACTTACACCAGTTTCATGATTTTTTTTCTTTCTTTTGAAACCTGAGTTCCCTTTTTGATCTTCATACCTTTGTGGGGTTGTGCTTTGTGGCATGACCCAAGCACAGCATCCTTCCTTGGGGCACGCCAATGCCACAGGGCAAGGATGGCACACCCAGCAAAAATCCCACTGCGCACCCGGTTTGCTGCATTGCAGTAAATTGAAAAGAGATAGAGATCAAGAGTCTGGGTGACTTGCTTGGTCTGGTTTCTACAGGAGCTTGGAAGCCATCACTTACTTGCCAGCTTTGACTGACCGAGAATGGATTGAGGAACTTTTTTGTGTGTTGGACTTATTGAATGCCCAGCATGTGTCTGTAGGTTGGACTGTTTACCGTGCTTGCTTTGCCTGTGGTTAGATCTAGGACTTGCTAGTGAAGATAGCATTTGAAGGGACTCCACTAAGGAGGATCTGGCTTTGTAAAGGTAGACTGGGTGTTTTTTTATTTCTAAAAATCTTTGTCGGATAACGGCCCAACAACCCTTGTACAACGTGCACCCCTAATTTTCTGCGTCATTAGAAAAATTGGCGCGCAGGGTAAATGGGTAAATCTTGAATACTTTAATTCGTGTTATTGATTCGGAAATTCCTGTTTCAATTAAAAAAAAATGTTTTATTTTTGGAATCAGCGTCTTGGTGAGCAACACTACTGCTAGCAGGACAGATCCTGTCATCATCATCAGCAGACGCAGACGCCGTAGTGCACCAACCTCAACCCAAGCCTCGCAAAACGAACCCCCGCCGGAAGACTTACCTTGGCTGACCTGTTTCCTGTGCGAAACGGAAGACGGGGATTTCGCGGAAGACTGCGAATATGGCCGTGACGAGGATGACGACGACTTCGGCACCGACGCCTCCTTCATCACACCGTCCAGAGCCAACAGGACGACCGGAAGTGGCACTCATCGGAAGCCGGAACATGAATACTACGACCCCCGGGAATTCAACGACGACGACGTCAAGTTCGACGATGCCGATTTCGCCTTTGACGACGCTTATGAGGTACAGGCCGTCTAGTGTACTTCATAAACTGGGGCTTCATACAATTTTTGGGAATTTTACCGCTTTCAAATATTGTATTTTCTCACGCACCAGCGCACAAACCATCAAACAAAATGTGCAACTGAATTTGCAAGTCTGAGTTTTGGAGAATAACCCTTGACTGAAATTTGCGTGCCAAATGTACATTTACGTGCCTGGAAATTGTAATATTTGGAGAGTAAATTGCATATATAAAATTCAATTTAAACCTTAATGGATTCAATTCCTCGTGATTTTTGCCTTAGTTTTGCTTTTGTAAAGCCCTTGACAATATGACTTACAATTAAAATAAGACTTTAGGGTTAGGTTTTATTATTGACTGATGATTGATATTAACCGAGGAGCTGAATGTGAAGCGTATACTTTCATATTTTGTGCAAAATCATATAAATGCGAAAAATTCAATGCACACAAAGGATTTTTTTTACTTATTCCGCCAGCTTTAAAAAAGCTTTCAATCAATATAACGAAGAAATAAAAATCAGAATCTTTCTATAAAAAGAACCAAATTAATGTTGATTAATACTCACTCACATAATAGCTAATTTCGACAGACTTCATCAATTTTCAAGATAATTAAGATTCTTGAAACAATATTTTCTAGTTCGTAACTCATTTTGCGAATTTCTTGACGCATGTTTTGCAGCCGAATTACATTAACCGTCATTTTCGAATGCAAAAGAATCAGATGCATTAATGAGCATAATTCAGTGCTTTTTCCCTGTGGGGTAAATTTGGTTCATCATATAGGCGATAGCAAAATCTACTCGACCTGAGGAACCTAAATCAGAAGAGGAAGAAGAACCGGAAGTGACGACGGAAGCAGCACAGCAGAACACCGAACAACCGGATGAAGCGAAAGAAGAGCCAGCGAACTCAGAATCCCGTTACCAGACCGTCGTCGAAGCCCCCACTCAAATCTTTGGTGTTGTTTCCGCGAGAAACCCTAAACCCGACGGAAACTTCCGGAAAAACTCCAGCGCAGAAGAAACTTTTCCGGAGGGTTCGGAATCGAAAAGTTCCGACTTCGAAGCCGGAACAAAGCTGTCGCCGATGCCAACCGTGTTTACGGAACAGGACCCTATGATTGATCCCAAAGAAACCCCGGGGAAACAAGGACGAGTGAGGATCATGAAGCGAAAATTGACTCCAAAGAACCTTCCAAAGACTGCTTCAACACTGCTGGAAACTCAACAAGAAATCAAATTACCATCAGACGATTCGCTTTGCTGGCAGCGAATTGAAATGCAGCTGAACTCGGGTCATATCCGGCGAAAAAGAACTCTCTGTTCCGACAAAAAACAAGTCCCCAAGGGATCAGTCCCGCAAAAACTGCAGAAAATGAGGGTATGCTGATTCAGAAAACAATCCCAATACATAATGTCGAACTCGTGCTGTGCAGTTAATTTGGCGCGTTAAGTCTGATGACATTGGTAACTCACCCAATTTTTGCGCATAGAGTGGATAAAGATTAAGAAGAAAAGCAACTACAGTCATATGCACCAGTTTATAGACTCATTTTTTTCCACAAATTCGTCTGTAAACCGGTACGTCCGCAACCTGAAACATGAACCGCTGTAGATGGCAATGTTAAAACTTTTAATTCGTTCTTGATTTTTGTGGAAATAATGGAAAATTAAAGAAAACACTGACATTCTGTGACTGTACAACACCTGCACTTCATGTGCGTTCTGTCAATACTTGAAACAATGAAGCACAGTTTTTAGGTCAGTCAGTTACAAAATAATTAAAAGAAGCTCAGTTGGAGTCACTTTCATCATCAATTGCCATCTTCAAGACACCAGATGCCCCAGCTTGACCACCTGATGCTTTAGAACGCACATTTTTGTGCCAAAAAAGAATTGGGAAGAAGAAGTGTTCTGAAAACCTCCCACGCAACAGCCCAACTGCAGTCCATAAACCGGTTTACGGTCCATACGCTAAAGCACTCTGGCAAAAAAAAAGATCTGGTCCATATACCAAAAATCCATAACCCGGGTTGTCCATAACCGGGATTGTCCATAAACCCGTGCACAACTGTAATGCCTTTTCCTCTTTTGGTCATTCACAAACCAAATAAAAAATAATAATTACAAAATATCTTGGCATTGCACAGAATGTAATCCAGCAAAAAACCTCCTGTAATCCAAAAACCCCTAACCAATATCCTAATCCTGTGTTCCCCAACCTTTTTGGGCCCTGAAGCCTGCAAATTGCCACACATTCCTTTGCAAACAAGCTAATTGTACCTAAAATTCTCCACAGACTGACACATTTTCATAGAGTTTTTGCAAAGTGAAAAAGTTTTGCTTGTAAGACTTTATGGCACACTTTTTCCCCCAAAAAATGCAGTTAAGCACCAATGCTGAGGCAGCTATAGCTGAATTTAATAAAAAAAAAGAATTATAAAGGTGGTCTTGAAGAAAGGTTTCTCAGAATGAACAATTGAAATAATTTATTTCAGCAGGTGACGAGACTTTGTCTGAAGTTTTATTAAGAGAAAAGCCAACTTGCATTCATTCATCATCAGATAGTTTCAACAGACACTGTCTTTCCAAAACTTCATATGAAGATAATTGACTTATCATTAAAATTGTGATGACTTTATTTGCTGCAGAAAATTTCGTTTGGACCAGCAAAAAAACTTCTGTGGACCGGGGGAAAACTGTCCTGATCGAAATACTTAGAAATTCTGAGAAATAGGCCACATGTTTTTGTAATAATTGAGGCGCTGTATGCATACGGAAATTATGGCAAACGTTTAAAAATTTTATCGAGCCATGTTTCAAAAATCATTCTTTTTTTGCATGAGCAAATTTTTTGAGCCGAAACCGAAACGAAATTCAAAGATTCTCTCCTCCTATAATAACGAAAGTTCCGAAAAAAATAGAGTTTATTTTTCCGAAACTCCATTCGATTTCCCAGCCTCGAATTTCAGTCTTTTAGTATCCATGTTTCAGCTTTCAGAACCTATACCACATCATACCTAAAGCACTTTCCTAAATTGGGCTCGAAAATTGAGCATTTTTAAGTCCCCGGTGTTCACTTTTTTACGCATTAATTGAGGCCCTTTATGCATTCCTTTATAGGTGGTGAACATTCAAATAATTTTTTTACTTTGGCTCGCAATTATTTTGTTACACTCCCACACGAGTCAGTTTTTTTTCAGCTCGAACAGAAACGGAGTTAAAAGATACTGCAGTTTTTTTCAAAAAAGAAGTTCCACAAAAAAGAAAGCTTGTCCTCTTGAAACTCAGTTCCATTTTTCCAAAATCAAACGTCTATCTTCGTTGTATTGTTTCAGGTTTCGGAACCTCCACTGAAACAGTTCTCGAGATCAAGGAGAAATAGCGGAGACGAAAACCTTCACGTGAAAATAAAATTCAGGAAGAACGACCCTCAAAGGGGGCTCCACGTGAAGACCTACGAATACAAGAAAGGAAAATCCGTCGTTCACTCCTCTTCTGAATTTCCCAGGTCGAATAGGAGGCATCAGGTCAAGAAGGACGACGATGACTCGTAAGTTACCAAGCTTGCTTCTGTTACTTTGATTCCAATATTGCTTCCCGCATCACACAACCTTATAAAAACATTATTCAAGGAATAGGATTCACATTCTGAAACGTGGTTATTTTTTTCCATTTCTGATTCCTTTTTTATTTTCTGATGAAAGCGATTCACGACGAGAAGAACCCAGCAGCATCAGAAGGAATCCTCACAGAGGTCCTTTGACGTCTTTTATTCCCGCCGGCTACATAAAACGAAGTGACGCGTCGCCTACTACTCTCCATCATGGGAATGCATCAACCCGGGAAAGAGTTCCAGAAATTCCAGCAGAAGAACCTTCAAAGGAGGGTCCTGAAGAGGATGAAGAAGACGAATTCCAGGGAGAAGTGTGGGACATGGTACAGGAATTCAAGCGTCAAGAAAAGGTGAGTCTTAAAGGTACAATTTCCAAATGTTTCTCGCGATATTTACTGACAAGTGACGACCAACATAAAAAAAAATCAAGCATGAAGTATAAATGATCTCCTAATGTTTGGAATAGGAATCTTGGAAGCATTTACAGTAAATCGAACCTATTTTGGTCAAATTTGAAGGTAATTCAAAAAAATTGTGTTGGCTTGAAAGAATTTAAAACTTTGAAAATGCGTATTAATTTAGGTTGGCTAAAATCAATGGAAATCATTTTCCAGCGAAATCAAGACAGAACTGTCCATCATTCACAGATGTCTTTACTGAAAGAAGAATGCATATTCCCTTGAGGAGAGTAAAATAAAAAATATGCTCTCTGTCTTAGTTTTTGGAAGAAGTATTTCAAAATTTAGCCCAAATTCGATGTCAAAAAGGCCTCAATACTGGAAAAATAGAGGCTTGAGTTTGACCCAAAAGGGCTTGCATTGTGCAGCTTCAAATTATATTTGACTAGAGGGAATTAGCCAGGCATTATGCTGACAATTTGAATTAAAAAGATTTTTGGGGAGGTCCTACATTTAAGGTTCAATATACAGCAGTTGGTCTGCAGCATTCAAATAGCAATTCAAACAAAAGACATTTCAAAAATTTAAAAATCTTATTTTTTTACATCCGCACAGTTTTTGTAAAGATGAAAAAATATAAACTCTAAATAATTGAATGAGAAAGTAATCTGTCCAATTTGAAACAATTGTGTACATACAGATATTACAGAATCAGTAGATATACGAGGGTTCTAACAAAAGTTCTCCGAGTAGCAATGAAAATGGCTTACAATTGAGCTGAAAAATTCTTTCTTTAGGGAAGAGATATTCTTTGGCACACAAAAAATATCAGCCCTGTTTGACAATTTTTTTTTATTTTTTTCATAATTCATCCTGGCAGAGTTTTGCTCTCCACTCAAAAGATGAGGCGCCCTTTTTTTATTGTAGCCAAGCTTTCCCCTCAGAAATTTTGAAATCAACTTGGCATTCTTTCTAAGGGTTGCCTCCAGGTCATCCAAGGCAATTCCGCCATTTTCATCAACAGCCGCCTCATTGGCCGCCACTTTGGTGGCTGTTGATAAAAATTGCAGAATGATAAAATGAGTGGAAAGGTGCAGAATTACAGACTTGAAACCACGGTGGACTACATAATTGTGAACTGTAAGAAAAATAGGACGTGTGGTACTGCACTTTTAAAACAAGACAGTCTATTATCATGTCACAGACTTTCTTGAAGTTAATCTAGATGTCGCTTCCTGATGATTCCATTTCCAAAAAGTCACTCCACGCGGTGCTCAGCCCAGCTTTATTGGCGCTCACCACATTCTACGATGAAATTCAATGAATTTGCGGATTTGGCGCTGTCTCATTGTTTGGAGCTCATTCAGAATCTTTCCATAACTCTTGCCTTTTTTCATCACATTGATGCCGGCTTATTACAGTACGAACCTTTCTAAGTCCAACTTCAGGAAGATGACCAACAAAATAATTCGATTCAGGGAGGTTTTCACTCTGCTGGGAAACAAGCATTAGTGTCGATGGGGAAAGAACGAATAATACCATAGCAGGCATGTTTCAATTGGTGATATTCTATGAGCATTTGATTGTTTCTTAAATGATTTGACGGGATCCTGATCTTGGAGGCAAGTGAGGGTTTATTTGCTCATTAATTAGAATTACACTTCCTTCAAAAACACATCAAGTATTATTATTATTGCTTTTTGATTTCCTGTATTGATAAAATAATCCCTAGAAAGCCTCTAGAAAATGACAGTCAAAATATTCTAGGAGGATGAGAGCCTTATGTGAGTCAGGAAGGCTTTTAATACAGGATACTGGCAAATTGAGACAGGGACAATTAAAGCAATTGACAATTGAGAAAAGGACAATTTGGGACAGGGACAATTACGAGGGTTCTAACAAAAGTTCTTGGAATGAAAATGAAGATGGCGTCTAATCGAGCTGGAAAAAAATTATTCTTTAGGGCAACCATATTCTTCGGCACAAAAAAAAATCAGCCCAGTTTGACAATTTTTTCAATTTTAATAATTTTTTTCCAGCTCGATTAGACGCCATCTTCATTTTCATTCCGAGAACTTTTGTTAGAACCCTCGTATAGGCAAAAACTATCTTAAAGCGGAGAGGAATCTGCTCAAGTTGGTTCAAAGATTTGAGTTTTTCCTTGAAGAGGAAAACTCACTTGACAGTGATGATGAACAAAAAAGAGGAACCCCCTAGGATCATGGACTTTTCACCAAACAGTGTAACTATGTTCATTTTCACACCTTAACCCTTGTGCAGCAAAGTTGGGATATTTTTGCAAAATTTTGTACCAATGTGCACTGGAAATAAAAACAAACCTACTTTTGTACCAAGGCCTAAGTTGGGAAAAAGTCTGATGTTTTCTTTTCTAATCATGCAGAAAATTTTGAATGAAAAATAAAAAATCCCTCACTGGGTGGCATTTTTCCTGCATTCCTGGCATATGATTTGCATGAGAAAATCCTGAGAGCAATACAAAATTCACCTCCCAGATTTTTTCTGACTGAGGCCTTTTCAACCTGGGAGCATTTCAGTGACCTTGGGTGAAACTGAAATGTGCCGCCTTCCGGAAAAATTCCAACTCCACCACACACTGAAAAACAACCCTCTGCCATCCAAGGGTTAAACATGAGATAATAAGGAGAAAGACAGACAAGTCATTTTGTCTCAAAATGCATCTGTCTCAAAATGTTTTGAATTCTCAAAAAGTATTTGTCCATGGTTCAAGAAGTTTCAGCCTTAAATTGCCCTTGTCTCAAAAAGTTTCTGTCTTGAATTGTCAGTGTCTCCAAAAGTATCTGTCTCAATTCGGCCATGTCTCAAATTAGCCTTGTATAAAATTTGCCCTGTCTCAATTTTTCTGTCGTGATTTGACCTAGACCCCTTTTATATTGCATTCTTTCCAACAAGGCATTTTAGACTGGGACCTTAAAAAAAAAGTGTACATGAATGGAATTTCGCTTCTAAAGTACTTAGCTTCTTTCGAGGTGCCTTATTGTTATTGAGAAAAAAATAAGCACACAAAAATAAAACAATGTTGAAATGAACTCAGGCCAAGGCGAAAGCCGCGAAGCAGAAATCCGCCGAGCGGGCTCAACTGCTGCAACAGGCGCAGGAGATGGAGGAAATCCGGTCGGAAATCCGGCGTCAGCTGGAGCTGAAGGAGCAGCGCCAGCGGGCCAAGGAAGACGCCCTCAGGCGGGAAATCGAGAAGGAATTCATGCGACAGCGCGGAGTCGACAAACTCGTCACCGACAGCCACTCCTCGTCATCCTCTGAGCCCAGAAGCAGCAGCACCAGCACTGAGCTGAGCCAGAACGTGCACAGCAATCATGAGTCCCATTCTGACCTGGACAGACAGAAGCTGCGGCTCATCCTGGAAAAATTCCCCGAATATGTGCACGCTCTTATCCTCATTCTGCAAGCCGTCGGGAAAACTGCGCAATTCTCTCAGGAACTCGGCAAAATCAACCCCGAGACTTGGGATGAACGTCTGCTTCCGATAATCCAGCAAGCCTCACAAACGTGAGTATTAAAAAAATATATATATATATATCTATTTTTTTTGCGATTCTTGTATATTAGTGTATTGGTAAAAATACATCAAGTTTCGAGGACGAATCCAAGTCTTATTGCTTGCAAATTATTCCTGACCCCTGCGAATTAAAATTCAAAACTTCAATGGGGAAAACAAGTGCAAAATTGTTTTGATCTTTTACGACGAAAATTGGAAAACGAGAAGAAAATGTACATTTAAACGCCTGATTGCAGATTTCCATTTAAATCCATTTTTTCTCTGATGATTTTAAAACTCATGTAAAATAATTTCTGGGTTATTCGAAAGCAGTATTAATTTCCTGGTTCCTATAAACTCAAGAGATTTTAACAATGATTCATATGAAATTAAAGCAGTACATGGAATAAATTACGTTTTTTATATCTCGCACGAATAATAAATCATGGTTGATGAGGAAAGTTTAATCCATAAACAGATTATAGAACCAAAACTTTCGACGAGGATGATAATCTCACTGAGCGAAATTCATCGGAGGGTCCTTCTGAAAAACCTCAAAAAATCTGGTCGCATTTGTTTCAATTTTTCTCGTCATCAGTCCATTTTTCAGTGTCTTACGTGGAGTTTTTTTAACCATCCTGTGCCGAATAAATTATGCATAACCAAGTGAGTGTTACCAAAAGAAAACTAATCTTTCTCTCTATCCACATAAATCGTTTTTAATCAATCAGGATTAATTAGGATTAATTCAGTTTACATTGGAAGACGATTTTATTTGGCATTACATGTTACAGTTCTCGCTAGAATTTTTTATTTAAGTTGAACTTTATACATTTTTGAAACTTCTGGAATGGGTTGTATCAAATGCAAATTAATCTCGAAGTCCCAGTTCACGCAATTCAATAATTTCATTTTTTGACGAAATATTTATGGTTGAGATATTTGCTGGAAATTCGTCTCATAAAATGATTAAATTCTTGATCTCCAGAGGAACGGTGAATCCGAACCTATAATCTTTCAGAAAACCCACGCTTCAACAAAGTCATTTGCGTAACAGGGATTCGGAAGTGCGACAAGCCGATTTCCAAAGCAAATCTGAGCTCCCCCGGATGCAAAGATTGGAAATCATTCAGCCCAAAAAAGAAGAAGAAGAAGAAGAACAAATGTACGGAATTCTCAAAGCCGTCCAACCGTCAA